GTGTGTGTGTGTGTGTGTGTGTGTGTGTGTGTGTGTGTGTGTGTGTGTGTGTGTGTGTGTGTGTGTGTGTGTGTGTGTGTGAGCGTCCATGCTGATGCTGATAAAATTGTAATTTTGTCTCCCGACCTGGATAGTGGAGCCTTCCCTTTGAAGGAAAACTGAACTAGGATGTGGAGCGCTGTTATGCATAACATGTCATTAGATCACAAATCGCTAAACAGGCATTAGCAAATGATGCTCTTAGCAATTAACCTTCTGCCTTTCTATATTACCACAAATACAGCTGAAAATTGTAAATAATTCAGAACACTCGTTAGACTCATCTTGTTATACTGTTTCGCTCACAAAGGTGCACTTATAAGTGGAGCCCAGATTGCAGTGATCAGTGACACGGGCAATCATGTGGCTCTCTTTATTCTCTCTCAGACCTTTTGGTGCCCTCATCTGCCTTTCTCTCCGTCTTTCTCTCCGTCTGTCTCTAACGCTATCACAAGTGGAGGGCTGTTCCTGTTGGTGTCATATGATGTCTTGTGGCCCTGTAGTGGTAGCAGAACAGTGACAGTTCTATCCCTGCGCCATCTAATCGACACGCCGCTCGTTGTCACATGCACTGTGATCATAAATCAGGTCACTGACAGTACCAGCCCTTAGCCATGTGCTCCTGCTTACGTCTTTAGTGTACTGCTGAAAAGCTGCACTCACGTTTTGGTTTTTTGACCCTTTTTTTGGTCACTTTCCACGACTCTTTCGCCGTGAATGTTATTGTTTAGCTTTGTTTACCTTTAATTATTCGAACAAGAATGTAAGATGATAGGAAAGCTTTATACGAGCAGAGAAAACAAGTTGGGAATGACTGAACAGCTGATAGGATGAACTCTAGATGTGACTTTCATGTGACAACCTGAAAAGAATCAGTGTTTCACCAGCCAGCATCCTGCTCGGCAAAGAGAGGGTGCTCATCAAGCTCCTTCTGCTGGTGGAGATCATTTGTTTCTGTGGCACATGATCGCCGCCGCTGCACAAATTATGTCGTTCCACCTTCCACTTGTTGTCCTCTCCCTTTCTGGCCTAGTTTTTGTGCGAGCTGGTCTTTGTTGTTGTGATTTTCTGTCGTGAAAAGAAAAAAAAAAAGCAACACAAAACAGAAAAATAATACAGCAGCAAAGCATCGTAATTATGACTCTTTGATGACTCCCTGTATTTGTTTTGTACTCTTTGTTGTTTGCTTCAACAGGTTTTCTCACTTTGCACAGAAAATAAAAAGCTGGGTACTTTGCCTCTCAAGAGCATAGTAAGGGGAATTGGTTCTCTTGAGACTGGTCTAACAACTCAGTGCTGTCGCACCCAATTTCTGGGCTATTTGACCCATTAGATGTCAGTGCTTGGGAAACAAACAGGCAGTGCTAAGAGGTTTGATGGGCATAATAGTGTGGACTTAGTGATGGATGGTGCCATAGTTAAAGTACAAAGAGTCCAAGAATGTTTTAAATCTCACTTTCTGCACTCTTATTGGACTCTTTTACCCGACGTGCTCTATATGTTTTTCTTTAATAAAGACTGAAATATAATCAGAACGGAAATAATAGAATACAAGCCAAAAATAAGTGAACAGTAAAAGAATTAATGAGGTGATGTAATATAATATTGATAAATATAGAAAAAAGTAACACCAATCATGAGAAAACACGTTTGTGTTGTTTGAAACGATATCAGCACAATCCCCGGTAGTTACTGGCAGATGTTTAGGTCACAGATTTATATTGTTTCCTGATTGCCATCTGAACTTTGAGGATTCAGTCATTTATCTCTAAAGGCACCAATTTCTAAACATCAAATGAAAGAGGAAAATCAGAATTAAAACATAAATCAAGCAACGCATGCAAAGCAGTGTGCAAATGTGACATCACCACAAATGACTGAATCCTCAAAGTTCAGATGGCAATGGAGGTTTATTTATATAGCGCATTTCATTATACTTCAACTCTACTTAGGTGAATGCAAAATAGAAACAACGCATATTAATAGTACTTTTTTCATTTTTGCCCTACTTTAAAAAATTGATTGCATTTTTTTTTTTAAATCACTTTTGAGCACAACCCTACAAGAGTTCAAACTAACGTCTTCATACGTAGATGTCACTTTGCTGTTAAAAGAGGTTATTAACTCTGGCGTTGCTTTGAATTTCTGGTTATAGTTGTTGCTCCTTTGTTCTGCGACTCTTCATTGTTGACACCTCCCTTCTGACTGCTCAAATTGCAAAATTGTACCCGAGACTGAGGTTGTGAGTACCTGGGGAGTAAGAATGCTGTGGCAGAGCTTTAGCCTCATGTGCACGCCAGTATTGATCCGTGCAAGCCTCAGTGACTGTTGCTACAGAGCAGGCTTCGCTCATGGTACAGGACTCCCACCTGTCACCAGTCGGTGGCAGCTAATGAGGAAAAGCAGCCCATCACACACTAGTACAGCACACACACACACACACACACCCATCAGCTTCTGGGATAACACACTGCCACCAATTCTGCCCTCTCCTCCTGCCTCACCCAGGCACCCCCTTCTCCCTTCTTGCCCCCCCTACCCCCCACCCCCTCTTTTTTACTCTGCCTCTTTCTCTACCTCACTTTTCCTCTAATGAGTTGCAACACTGATAACGAGCCTGATGATCTTCCATTGATTCAGCTATCACTTGCTTGTCTGGTAATTGATCCGTAGCTGAGCCTCTAGTTAATTATATGGGCTTCGACATGGACCCCTGCCCCGGGGGGAATTCTCAAGTCCTGCACAATAATAGTTTTAATAAAGGAGCCTGAGGATCTCCAGTATCCCCTTTTTTCCCACCCTTTTCCTGCTTTCACAGATTTTTCATCTTTCTATTTCCTCTTGCCTCCTCTTTCCAGCCCCCCCTTCAAAATTTCTTCATCTCTGTATTTTTACTTCTGTCTCTCTCTCTCTCTCTTTCTGTGTTTTTTTTTCTTTGTTTCCGCTGTCATCATGACCATTTACTATCGGCAGAAGCAAGGTGGACGGGGTAGGGGGGTAAAAAGAGGGGAAAGAAATGTGGAGGAAGAGTGAGCAATATCTGCAGAGTCCACTCCTCCCTCTCACAAATAACAGCCATTAACCAGCCAGGTCAGAAGCTGAGCCACCAGCTTGACTTGAAACACTGAGTGCCACTCGAAAAACCCACAGACTAGCACATTTACAGGAGAATGGGGTGGAGGGGTGGAGGGAGCAGAAGGAGAGAGGAAGAGAAAAAAACTGGAAAGCAAAAAGGAACCTTGGCGGCTAAATTGTCACTTAATATAATTAGCCTAAGCCTCGTGCATTACCTTTTCAATAAGTTGTTAAGAGCAGAGCTGGTGGTACATGGACAAGAGGTGACACATTATGCCTTTTACAACAATGCTTCTCGTGGCTACTGACAAGGCACGGGCCAGCATGCAAAAAGATGAATGAAGAAAAGAATTGAAAAGGAAGGGAGCAGCGGAAGGTATTTAGAGGTGGAGGGGGGAAAAATTACAAGAGACAAAAAAGCAGAGGATGAAGATGTAGGCAGGCAGCAAGAAAGGAGCGAAGATGTAAATTGAGCTTGAGACAAAAGACACAATTGCACATTTTCAAAGTGGCGAGACACACACTGCACACTTTTCTCTCTGCTGGCAGAAATCACCTGTACATAACAGTAATGACCGGTGTGATAATCTCAGCAAAGGTTAACGGTGTACCACCATTAGTACATAGTACAAAAGGCTTTTAACAGACAACCAAGAAGCTGTCTGCCGCAATTTACCACAAAATTTGAAGTGACTTTATATATCACAAGCCATTTAATGTAGCTGAGGAGAGAAGTTCTGTCCGTGTCCCTTTCTCTTTTGTTCCTCGGCAATGAAAAAGATCACTGTGACATCTCCCTCTCGCTGCGGACTGAGGCACCTGGTCTGTCATTTCTCTAATGATAGTGGGGCGAAAAGACGGGGTGGAGAAGACAAGATGGGAGATTTAAAGTTTAAAAAAAAAGGGGAAAGGAAAGGAGAAGGAAGGAGGGAGGGAGATGGGTGTCTTCATTGTTTGAGATGTGTCCTATGCTGTGTCAAAGGAAGCATAGATCTTTTCCCTCTTTTTTTTTGTCTTATCCTCCTGTGTGTCTTTTTCTCTGTGTCTGCCTCCCTTTACTCCTCCATCCCTCATTTTATTCCCCTTACCTTTGCTGCTGTGGGGACCAATTTGGCTAAAATGGAACCTCTTCCTCATTTTTTTCTTAATTAAAATCTGAGAGCCTCCGCGGAGGAGGAGGAGGAGGAGGAGGAGGAGGAGAGGGGAGAGAGAGGAGGTGCCTGTGAGCATGTGTGTTCGTGTGCATGCTGGTGGCAGATTGCCTGCGTTCCATTAGTCTTTCATTAGAGTCGGTGAAAATCAAACAAAGGCACGAGAGTTTTAAAAGATGTATCAAGGCTGGCATCTTTGCTTGTTTTAAAAAAATATATATATAGAGAGAAAGATATATTTATAATTATCTAATGAAAAGAACACCAAAAAATGTTGATCAGCTGTGATAAAAAAAAAAAAAAACAGTTTTTTTGCAGAATACAAACCTGATTTTTCTTTCCTGAAACAAAGAAACTTGAAAACACCAAACAGAAGTGGCTCTTTTTTCACATGGAAGGCAACAACTCAGCTCCTTTGCTTAGCACTGTGTATAGCTGTGTGTGTGGGGGGGGTCTGTGTGCGTTCATATGCGTGTGTGGCAGGACGGTCCCACAGGAGAACTAAGTTGCTCTGAGACGTGCTGGCCGCTCGCAGCGCAAATGGTAATAAGGCGGGGGGAGACAAACGCTCCCCTCCTCCCGATCTGTGAGGGAGCTTGCCCCCACCTATCTGCGTCTAGCAGAGGAGGGGTGTGTGTGTGTGTGTGTGTCTGCGTGCAAGTGTGTCGAAGTGTGCAGCACGATGTCACTGAGTATCTCACAGTGGAGCGGCGGAGTTGACTCAGTTGAGCTGCACTGGCCTGACACACACACACACTCTCTCTCTCTCTCAGTCTCGCACACACACTCAGCGAGCCACCGTCTCTCTCACTGGCTCGCTCTCGCACACACACACACACACACACACACGCTCAGGCGCTCAGTTCAGTTCCTCCGTGGCTGCGGCGGAGTACAGAGGAGTCAGAGAGAGAGAGAGAGGCAAGAGGAGAGGGAAAGAGAGAGGACAGTCGGCAGCACAGACGTTGAGAGAGCGACACATTCACAGAGACACAGAGAGAGAGAGAGAGGCTAAGGGAGAGAGAAAAGGAGAGAGAGAGAGAGAGAGGAGCGGGAGGCAAGGAGAGCTGGATTGCTGGTGGCTCACTCCCACACCTCATCTTCACTTTGCTGGGACAGACACAGAATTGATGGTAAGATAAATTCAAGCTTTTTATTGGCTCGGCTGTTTGCTTTCATGGACGTTTATGGGACTTTTTTTTTTTTTAACTGGACTTTAAATATGTTTTTTTGGTTGTTTGACAAATCTTTGGGAAAACAGTGAAACAGTATTTTTAAATTTCACAATTTTTTTTGCTGTATGTGTTTTTTTTTAAAGTCTAGAGTGTAAGATATATCTCTGTTGTACTTACAGCACACTATTTGTTGCCTTCTCAAGCTTGAATTTATTTCTGATTGTATTTCTGTGTGGATATTCACTGCTGAGTCTGGTGGTGGCACTTCCCAGGTTGCTTAACTTTTACTTTCCTACTTTTCTTTTTTTTTCTTCTTCAAATATTACGTGAGTGTGTCCATGTGTGTGCATGCAGGTAAACATGCGTTCCACTGTGTATGTTTGCATCCAAGTGTGTGTTTCTGTTGACTCCGTGTCCAAGTACAAAATGACTGACAGATGGATTACAGCAAAAAGTAAAAAAAGAAAAGAAAAAAAAAAGTCAGGCCAAAGGCAACAACATGCACCCCCTCGCCTTAATTCCCATAATCCCCTCCTTTTTTTTTGTTTTACTCCATTCTTGCTCACCTTCTCATCAACCTCCCTCCTCACCTCCATCCTTTTCCTCGTCCCTCTTCACCTCCAGTGCTCCGCTCATCTTCCCCTGTCCAAGACGAGGCCCCCGAGGAAATTCACCACAAGCCCTCTTCTCTCTCCCTTCACGAGAATTAACTCCACATTCACTGCTCTGCCACCGGAGCTGCCAAGAAACCTCACACACATACACACGCACACATACATCTACTTCCTCATCTTGCCTCTTGCTGTTATCCTCCTCAGCAAGCAGGAACCAAGCTAGATTTTTTTAAAAGGCAACATAACCCCAAAAGAACCCACCTTCACTGACTTCTTTTTCTTCTCTCCTCCTTCACACTCCCACATCCCTGCCGCCCTCCCTCTCTGTCTCTCCCTCTCTCTGTCTAAGTCCAAGGAGGCAGAGTTGGATGTGAGAGGCAGTGAGTGTGACACGGTCCCACCAGAGCCCAGCAGAGACCCAGAGTCGCCCAGGCCACCTCCAGCTAAGGCTAACGGACCCACGGACACAGCTGGCATTTGCACGAGCATCATCTCAAGTAGCCACAGTAGTAGTAGCAGCAGCACCACCAGCAGCAGAAGTGGTCTGGGTGGCGTAAGCATCGTTAGCAGCAGCGCTGAGGGAGCAGGCGCGAGCTCCATGCAGTTCAGCACCAGACCGCCTAGTGCTGAGCAGCCGGGCTTCATGGGGACATGGCAGCAGCAGAGCACTGACAGCAACCTCCTCTACAGAATGTCCCAGCAGGTACGTCGCTCAGCCTCACCCCTCCATCTTCTCCATCTCTGCCTCCTCCTGTCTTCCTTCTTTCTTTTCCATCTTTAAGGCCAAATGTTCATTTTCCTTCTCCTGATTTGTGTTTACTCTCACAGTATTTACTGGTTCCTGATCCAAGAAAGTGTTGGTGTACGTCTGCATGTGTAGGTGTATGTGTAAGTTCATGTTGGGGTGGGTGGGTGGAGGTGGTGGGGGGAACCAGTGGTTTCGTGGTGTCTTGTTTGTGATATTTTAAGTTAAGAGTCAATTTTGCAGCAAATTTTTTGTAACTTTCCCTTTTCTTTTTGGAACATTGATTTCATGCTTTTTGTGTTGCTCTTTTACACAAACCTGCTGTAAAGTATTTCAATTCATGCATTTTCCCTCTCTCTCTGTCATCTGTCACTTTTTCAAAATTTATTCAATGCATTTGTCATTTTCTTTTATTTTTTAAAAAAGGGCAAAAAATAGCACATTTTATGTATTTGCAAAAACATGTTAATATAAAATTTGCACAGCTTGCGACATGATTCCTTGCCTCTTGTTACACACATGCCTTCTGTCTCAGTAATTGGTGTGAGAGCGGAGAGGAGTTTTAAAAAGCAAGCTATAGGCGTGTTTTGGTAACCCCAGCGCCGATAAAGACTCGGGAAGGGGCACCCCTCTGGGACCGGCTAATTGACTTCGTGTGGCCGAAGCAGGAAGCCCCTCGCGCGGCTACGGAACAGCAAAGGAGCCGTGAATGAATCCTGGCTGGCCAGGAAAAGTAGTGATGATAACAGAGAGCCCGCAGCGGCTGAGGACAGTCGAAGATTTCCTCCCGACATTCCTCTGCTGCTGTCGCTGGTGTTCCTCTTCGTTCTGTAGCCTTTTTTTATTTTTTAGGTTTTTAATGTCGTCTCTAAAGTTAGAAACATGACAGGGATGAAGTGGTTTCGTTGGATAAATATCAGGTACGGAGAGGGGGGATAGGAATGTCCAGCTCCGAGCAAGTGTATGTGCGTGCGTGTGTTAGTACGCGGGCGCGCGCGCGCGTGTGTGCTTGTGTGCGTCCGTTCGCGCACACGTCCGCGTGAGGGGAAGACAGTAAAGATAGAGGATGGTTGTTAGGTTGCAGTTAATCATAGCGGGACCTGCAGACTCTCCGTACCATGCACACGCTGTTACGCACTCGGGCCATAGCGGCTCTTGCGCAACAGCTTCGCCGCGGCTCCGTGCTGTAAGTGATGAGAAACATATTCTGTCACCTTGACGGCACTTGGAGTCCGTTTTGTTTTTGTTTTGTTTAACCCCCAGAGGTCGAATCGTGAAGATGAAAACGATGTTTTGGGATTTTTTTTTTAAAAAAAGAACAAGAATCCCGGTGTAACTTTTAGTAAAGACACATTTTGTTAAAGCAGCTTTCCACGAAATAGTTTTAGGAGAAAAACAACCTCCACCTTTTTTTTGTTTTAGTCAGGTTGATCTTTAAAGCCCTCAAATTTATTAGATACGTAAATCAATAGTGTTTCCCTTTACATCCTCACACCTTTCGTGCTTATCACGTTTTATCTTCCCCACCCCCTCAAAATCTTCCTAAAGTAACGATCATGCAAACTATTGATACACGAATTAGTGGATGGGTTGCAGGGGTCAGCGAACCGCTTCTCTTCTCCTCTCCCGGTACGAGCAGGTGGATGGGCCCTTGCGCTCAGCATCTGCTGGGACCCCACGTTTGCGTCCCCAATCCTTTTTACAAATGCGCACCGTTGTTTCAATATAATCAGCTGTGGGACTCGCTGTTATTTATCCTTCCTCGCACTACTTAGAAGACATCTTCTCATGTTTAGTAGGCATGACATAAATTCTCCGAAGGAAGCCTGTTCCTTGACAGACTCGCCTTATTGGAATCTAACCGATAATGACTTTGTGTTTGCCGAGCCTGGCGCACCCTGGGGTGTTGGAGAGAAATGCGTTATGGGCTTGTGTTAAAAAAAAACAAAAACCCCCATCTCCCGTAAAGATCAACCAGGTGACAGATAGATGCAGGATTTTATAAAAGTTTAGTTACATCACATCTCCATCTGATCGATAGAGACATAAAAAAAAAGATTTGTGCGCAGTGCGTTTTGGAGAAGCGGCTGTGATGAGATGCAGGGACATCTCCAAAATAACAAAAACAAAACATAACAACAACAACAAAACCCATTTGACAATACCTTTTGGAATTCCTTGTAAATCAAACACACACAAAGAAGCACTGTCGAAACGTAGGAAATGTCTCTTGTGATAGGAAGGCAGTGATTTTCCTATTTTAAAGCCATCCTGTTAATTACGTAAATAACCTGCGGTTTGCAGCAGGTGTTTGATTAGCTCGTGGACAAGCATCCGTGACTGAAGAGTGCAAAGAAAGTGAAGCACAGACATTTATTTTTTTCTGTTGCATCCAAATTCCGAATCACTAGTTTCCTTTTTTTCATCATAAAAAAGCAGCACGTGTCTTATATGGCGTGGAGAAAATTGCTTAAACCTAAAGAAAATATTTAAAAACCACTTTGAATTTAATAAATAATGCCTGTATTGCTGCCGAATTTTAATCGTTTTTCATAGATTTTTATTGGCAATTAATGAATGTATTTATTTCATATTCACTTAGATGTTTTTCAAGACACGAGGCATTTTCTTTTAAAAATATTTGGCCACAGGCGATGCTGTTTGGATTGAAGAAACAAATGAAAAATACAGGTGAATTAAATATTTTTCCTTATGTTTTATTAAATGTGGAGTGTGAGATTGCATATTGATACAATGGTATTTTTTTTCCTTTTTCTTTTCTCTTCTTCTTCTTTATTTATTTATTTATTTATTTATTTTTAAATCGTTGCGTGATTTTTCTAAAGCAACGAAATTAACAGCGTTGGATATTGAGGCATTTGTGCAGTCGAACAAATTTACACCTTTCATAAAAGGCCTTAGTAGGTTTTTAATCTTTGAGCAAACTCTTTTTTTTCTAAGCCACACAGCAGGAGATTTACATCCTCTATAATCCACGCAAGTGTCAACAGGAAAGGGCATAAACAGCATGCAATTTAAATGAAATCAATGAAATGGATTCAATAAATACGACCTATTTTCTCATCTTCCTCGTGTTAAAAAAAAATCAGTGCACATTTTACAAAACACTGCGAGAAGGGAACTCTCCTAATTGCTTTTATGGCGGAAAAAATACAAACATTAGTCGCGAGTGTAATTAATTCCAGGCATTACGGAGTGATAATATTTGGAGCCTTAATTGACCCGCTGCTGTACATGCGTGGCTATGAATATCGACCCTCTGCAAGTTAAAAACTCCAGAGTTAAGTGATACTACGAGTCTAATTGGCTCATCAGGGATGTTTCCTCCACAATACAGCAGCCGGAGGCCGCGTTTCTCTCTCTCCTTTCCCCCCTTTTTTATTGTCTTCTCCGCTTCAAGTCGGAGGAACGTGGGAACAAGTCAAGGATTAGAGAAGCTTGTAAAAATGTGCCTTCATCTCCACCTGAGGATCTGATGGAGCCACCCAGGCTCGGTGCAGACCTCAAAAGGGGTGGGGAAAAAAAAAAAATCAGTGTATATCTCCAGTTTAAAACCATCTCTAAAATAGCCTCTTCCTTTTCTTTTTGCAAGGGTGCTGTAACGCGGCTTCCTTTGAAGTGCGACAGGTCGACTATGGGCCGAGATCTGGAAGAGGTACAGTGGCATTACAGCTTGCCTGACTTCTGTCTGCTCTCAGTGCTGCCTGCTTCATCTCACACCGAGACTCTTTTTATCCACCTATGGACACAGCAGGGGTGGATAACACAGACATATCATTTAAAACTAGATAACACAAAAACGCCAAAAAATTAATTCAAATACCAATAATAATCAGCGTTAAAACAATAGAAATAATAACAGAAATTTTATATCTTATATAGCTTTTTGTGGCAATTTTTTTCTTAGGATTTAAAATAATATTTTAAACAAACACTCACTCAGATTTGCAGCATTTTATTCTTTCACTGTAGCATTTACAATTTTAGGATATGGAAATTACTTTAATTTAATGTCAGTAAATTAAATTTATAACTAATATATATATATTTATATGTCTTTTTTAATTCTTACAAATCTGCTGGCTTCTTGTCTCCAAACATCCTCTCAAAGATTTGAAAGCCTGAGTTTATTTCCTCTAATATTACAATTTTTCTTCCCATTTCTCTTCCTTTTCCTCTTTTTGTCATGTTTATTTATTTATTTATTTCGCTTGGATCAACATCACAGTCCTGTTGGTTGATTTTCCCTTGTTCCATATATTTCGTTAAAGCGTTGTGCAGCCAGCCCAGCGCTGTCTGTTTATGCCAAACGGTTGGAAGTGAATTCTGTTAGCGCTCAGAGCATGATGATGGACATATTTGTGGAAAAACATGCTCTGCTTTGTTTTGTCTGACTGAAGAAATTAGGTAGATATTATCCTCTTCAGCGCAGTTCAGAGTAGACGCTAATCTGCCTATTAACACAATGATAGATTTATAGCAGTGTGTGTGCGTGTGTGTGTGTAGGGAGGCTGGAGGCAACCGTTGTTTTACACGGTGGGGTAAAGTCGTGTTGTATGTTGCATATGTGGTGCATATGCATTGCTTCTTACTGTTGTGTTGGACTTGGAGGCAGTGATTTGATGCATATGTGTAGAATTACCCACAATCGGTGAACGTGTGCGCATGTGTGTGGTTACACTCGCTGTTATTATTTCCATGTCTGTCTTTGATGGGTCGTTGCACACGGAGCATATGGATGTCTATACATACATGTATCTGGTGTCAAGTGTGTGTCTGTGTGTGTGTGTGTGTGTGTGCGTGACGTTTATGTGTGCGCTAAAGAGTTGGTGTCTGTGGGTTTGCCATTTATTTTTCTGAGTGGGTGGCTAAGCACTCATATGCCAGTTGTGTGAGTGTAAGCGTGTTACTAAGGATGTGAGAGTGTGTGTGTATCCTCCCTGTGTGTGTGTGTGTGTGTGTGTGTGTGCGTCTCTGTGTATTGGATCGGGCTCCATGTGTGTGCGGGTGCGAGGTGAAGTGTCTCTTGGCTGGCCCTGGCTGGAGAGCTGGAGGAGAGCAGAGGTGAAAGAGGAGATTTGCAGAAAAGACACGCACCACTTCCCCCATTACTACTTTTTCTTTTTCTTCTTCTACTTTTACGTCTTTGTCTCTCACAGCTTCTTCTTCTGCCCTCGCTTTTTCAGCCCTCTTCCTCTTCCCCTACCTTCACACTTTCTGCTCTGTGTCTTCTTCGCCACTGTCTTTCTCACTTGAAACTCTTCACCAGCAGCAAATCGAATGCTCAAAGACGAAATCAGATGGTTTTTATGCAGCTACTGTCTTTGCACAAAAGGCTCCTGAGACTAAATCTGTGTAACTGGGGAACATTTTGAGCGTGTTCACTTTATATACCGTGCAGGATTACGACTCATCATAAGACACAAGGACAGAAGAAGCACAGTGTTTTCTTGGTTATGCCTTTTTAATCAGTGTTTTGGTCTGGTAACCTGACCGGAAAAGCTTCAAAGCTTCAACAGAATAGATGACCCTGATGAAGCGCTTATCCCTCGATCTAAACTTGTCCTCTTATACTGCCTAATTCACGTATTACTGCTGCGCACCAGTTAAGAACATCCAGATAACATAGGCAGAGCTGAGAATGGACGCTGTGATTTTTGAGCGAGCTGGCATCCAACGCAGTCTTTGTGTGTATGATGATGCGTTTTGTAAAGGCGGCGTTATTTCTGCAGGAGAGCAATACGAGAGTAAGACCGAGCAGGAAGGTGGGCACGGCTACTAGTATATTTGCTGTATGCGTGCTCTAGTAAGAGCCCATCTGGTTTGATGAGGTGGGAGGATGCACAAGGTCCCATTCATGCTGCGGTCCCCACTATATTTACCCAAGTGCCAACCAGGGAGATATGACGTCCACAACATTTTTATTTTAAACTAGTTCCAACTGGCGTTTCAAAATCTTTTTCTCTCAGAAAGTGCATCGCCCAGTATGTCTGAAGGTACATGTATACATACGATAACTATGCCAGCTTTTTAAATTTCTGTTTTACATACTGCTTGTCTAGTGGGTAACATCAATAGCCACACTTTTAATTCCACCATTTTCCACTCTATTTCTTGGACAGTTGACTGACTCTTCACGCGTGCACATATATTCTCCTTTCTTTCACTCACCATCTTAAAATCCGTACGATAGATTTTAATTTTCAATTCATTTATATGCTGTCCTTTCAAAAATAAAATACGGCACCCTGATCTCGTGTATCTCAGGTCAGGCAGGAACCTCTGTAGCTGTGCAATAATGCCCTGCAGGCCCAGCGTTATGGGTAAGCACTGACCCTGACTCTGTGTGCAAGACCTGGGGCAAACAACGATCAATAAGCATCATGTGAGCATCACTCACAGGCTCCATGTCAGCTGTTTCCTGTTTGTCCTGAGGAGACAGGTGCCTCACCACCATGGTGAATGGGGGGGTCTGTATCATATGGAAGCATAGGGTGCATTTTATGGGTGAGGAGCGATAGAAATGCACAGCCATATGCTCTGGCTTTATCAGTGGGATGAGTGGTAAAATGTACTGGAGCTGAGTCTTTCCCAGGGACCTCTCTTACTCTTGTGTGGGCATGTAAAATCAAAGAAATACAGTATTCCATTTCCTTCTGTTGTTCTTTATTTATTGCGAGTCGCTTTTTTTGACAAAGTCAATCAATAAAATACCGGTAATCTGAGTAGAAGATGTCAACACCGCGTAGCACTGAGGAAATTCATGAAGTATTTCAGGCCAGAAAGATTTACGTAGGTTTTATTCATTTGGAATAAATCAGCGTGGTTATTCAAAATGTGAGCTATACTCAGCAGCACATGTGTGTGGGGTGTGTGTGTGTGATTAGTTTCTTACGGCACTGGGAAAATGGTTTACAGTGTTATGTATTTTTAAATACAACTGTTGTCATGTAGATTGCATTGAAACGCTTTATGCTGTTTTTTTTTTTTATCTGCTGATGTCCGCGTAAGCAGTGGAACACCCGTCTTTTTACTGTGTTTTTCCTTCTTTCATTTTCTACGTGTCTTTCAAAACACGGCTGTGAGTTATTTGTCTTTGGGCAGTTTCCTGCAGTGCGGTGAAGTCGCCGGTGTGAAGAGGAAATGTGTGTGTTTGAAGGGCTAGTCGCTCAGGATGTCACCACCCCACCACTGGCTAATGAGGGGGACATGAATACAGGGCCAGGGCAGCAGCACACACACACACTGACACGGCAGGAATGCAGCAGCTGTCACCGGGATCCAGGCAGCTATAAAAGGCTTGAAGTGTAGTTCTTGTAAGTGTGTGTTTGTGCGAGTGGTGTTACCAGGGGTTGCTGTGGCATCGAGAGCCGGGAAGGGGACGGCGCTGCCACAGGTGACCCGAGCCACCAGCGGGGTGGACCATCAGAAATCCATTTATTTTACCTGTGGTATTTTAAGATGTGGCCATATGGTAGAGACATTGTTCTGTATCCAGAGGAAGGTGACATTAGGTGTGACCTGTGCTAAGTGACAGGAACTTGGGCATACTTTCACCATGGCTTCTCCCTTTTCCTGTTATTCCTCAACTCCTGTTATTTTGTTTTCCTTGGAGTTGCGCCAACGCAGCGGGCAAATCGAAAGCCTACTATTTTTACATCCGTCTTTAAGGACCCCTGTCTATTCGCTCTGCCTGCCAATTTGCCCCATCAGCAGTGGCAAAGAAGAAGAGCTCTCAAGGCACCGAGCCTTTCATTTTTCTGTTGGCGATGTAGCTAATGCTGTCACTGTTATTTGAAAAAGCACTCAGAGTGAATTGCTATTATTATTGTTAAAACCATCATCATCAGGCTTATTTATGGTTATGGATAATGATGGTAATTTTGTTCAGGTCTCGCACTTGACTCTGTCTCTTTCTTCTGCTAATCTGACATATACTGTGTGTATGGGTGTGTGTGTGTGTGCGTGCAGGCCTACTGTACAGTGCTGTGTGTTGGCAAATTACCAAAGTTGTTGTTCAAAGAAAATGGTTTTTCCAAAAGGTAACACAGATTTCATGTCCACAATTCACATGTGAGGTGAAGAGAGCTGCACTCAGGCAAGAATAAATATGTTTCATCTTTTAATGAATACATGGAACCGTGTCTGTGAACGGTGGAGGTGGAGGAGGCTCCCCCCCCCCCTTTCACTATTTTCTGTTTCATTTCATTTCTTTCTTCCTTTTTTTCGCCTCTCTTGTGCTCCAATGTTTTATTCTCCATCTATCTCCCCGCTCCGTTCTGTTCTGTCTCCAACTTACCATGGAGGTTTGATTGCTCGAAGCCCAGGGAGGATTTTTTAGGGAGGTTCTGGAGAAGGGAGGCTAGTGGTACAGGCTGTGGTAGGCTTGTAGCCAATGTACATAGTGCGCACGTATTACACATGCACGCACATACACACAGATATAAAGTACAGTGATTTTCTTTGTGCAGATTGTGTAAATTGCTTCTTAACAATGCTGTCATTTTAACCCACTGAATAAAAAGCCTCTAAACTCGAGTCTAAACCCGTTAGCTACTTTTTTCCCTCTCGCCTTCTTTTTCCTTGTGAGCAAAGTGTTAAAGCAACATGTGTAAGCGTTTGTTTGTGCTCTCTGCTGACTTTGTAAAGATGTTT